CGCAAACAAACAAAATACAAATTAAATGGTGGAAGTTATAAATAAAATGCTGTTTCTTTCTGTGTGCCAGTGGGTCATCGTGCACATCTCTTACAGTATGTATCCCAGTTTGGAGATTGGTGGTCTAAAATACTGCTTGCCAATCAGATTACTCCATTTTCTAACTATGTGAGGCTAATGCTGTGTCAGCATGAAACCGGAGGTTGAATATGACTTTTCCTTCTGTCTGAGCACTGGCTATTGGGGCCCTCAGATGAACCAAGAGGATCCTAGTCTAAGACTTAGGTGGAAGAATCTGCTCTGTTGCCATTGACCAGACTGTCTATGCAGAAAAGAACTATTATATGTGTCAACATTGGGGTGTGTGGAGGGCAGAGGGGATTTTCCTATTATTGTCCCCAACTCTATCCCCAGCCCCTAGTAGGTCTGGGGCTTGTAAGGCAGGGAGACTGGTAGTTTGCTCTGTGGCCAGATGCCTCCTACAAGTTAGAGGCTGTTGCATCAGGCCAAGCCAGCAGAATGAGAAGGGACTGGTTGGTGTGCTTGGGAAGGACGCTCACTTTGAGCTAATCTTGTTGCCTCCTAGAGGTCCCATTGGCTTGATGTCAAGGAGCATGGGACCAGAGGAAGGCACGATACCTAGTTCTGCCCATAGGACCTTGGGGCGAGGAAGGCAGAAAAGAGATTAGAGGATGAGCTGCTGGTGGGACCAGTGGGAGTTCCCAGTGTTGGGCTCAGGTAGGTTGAACGCCATCTACGATTCAATAACATTCACCCAGGCCTCCAGTACACCACAAACCTGTCTTTTTTTTTTTTTTCTTCTGATACGAAGTCTTGCTCTGTCACCTAAGCTGGAGTGCAGTGGCATGGTCTCGGCTCGCTGCAACCTCTGCCTCCAGGTTCAAGTGATTCTCCTACCTCAGCCTCTCTAGTAGCTAGAATTACAGGTGCCTGCCACCATGCCCAGCTAATTTTTGTATTTTTAGTAGAGATGGGGTTTAATCATGTTGTTGGTCAGGCTGGTCTCAAACTCCTGATCTTAAGTGATCTGCCCACCTTGGCCTCCCAGAGTGCTGGGATTACAGATGTGAGCCATGTGCCTGGCCTATTTCTTTATATGTTCTTGAGACGGGTTCTCACCCAGGCAGGAGTGCAGTAGTGCCGTCTCAGCTCACTAAAACCTTGACCTCTCTAGGTCAAGGGAGGGTCAGGTGACCTTCCTAGTAGCTGTGACTACAGGTGCACACCACCATGCCTGGCTAATTTTTGTTTGTTTGTTTTTTGTAGAGACAGGACTCCAGCCTGGATAACAGCAAGACCCTGTCTCTTTAAAAAAAAAGAAGCTGGACACAGTGGCTTACTCCTGTAATCCTGGCACTGTGGGAGGCCGAGGCAGGCAGATCACAAGGTCAAGGGATCAAGACCATCTTGGCCAATATGGTGAAACCCCTTCTCTACTAAAAACAAAAAAAGTAGCTGGGTGTGGTGGCACACAACTATAGTCCCAGCTACTTGGGAGGCCGAGGCAGGAGAATGGCTTGAACTTTGGAGGCAGAGATTTCATTGAGCTGAGATCACGCCACTGCACTCCAGCCTGGCAACAGAGCGAGACTCCATCTCAAAAAAAAGAAAAAAGGCCAGCAGGATGAGAAGGCCTGCCACCTTCAAAGAGGTCACTGACTCACTGTTACTAGGGCATTTGCTTTGCTGGACAAACACACCATCCTTTGAACAGTGGCATAGACTTGGATGACAGTTGGCCAAAGTAGTGAGTGCAGTTTGCTTAGGGACAAAGCAAAGGTGGCTGACTTGTATGGTATTTGAATTTACTGGCTTTCTGATGAAAGGATTTACCCAGAAACACTTTTTTTCAGTGATTTGAAGTTAACATTATTGAACACAAATGGATTTCAGATATTTCTTTATCTTACTGTGTAGCTGGTAAGTTTTTCAGTATCTTTAAATGTTATACATTTTAGACATGTGGTTATTACGATAGGTAAAAGCATTTTGTATGAATAGACATGGGTTAGAAAGTTTTTACATCTATAATTTTTATTTTTGTTGTTTGTTTGTTTTTTGAGATTGAGTTGTGGTTTTGTCACCCAGGCTGGAGTGCAGTGGTGCGATCTCAGCTCACTGCAACCTCTGCCTCCTGGGCTTAAGCCATCCTCCCACCTCAGCCTCCTGAGTAGCTGGGACTACAGGCATACATCACCACACCCAACTAATTTTTTGTGTGTATATTTTTGGTAGAGACAGGGTTTTGACCTGTTGCCCAGGCTGGTCTCAAACTCCTGAGCTCAAGTGGTCCACCCACCTCAGCCTCCTAAAGTGCTAGGATTACAAGCATGAGCCGCCACACCTGGCCACTTCTATCTTTTTTAAACATTTCTTATTATAGCCTATTTTCTTTAGGTATATTCTAGTGCTTAGAGAAAATTACACAGACCAATATTAAGCTAGGCCCACAACTTGATTAAAAATAAAAATAGTCCAGGCACGTGGCTCACACCTGTAATCCCAGCACTTTGGGAGGTCGAGGTGGGTGGATCACTTGAGGTCAGGAGTTCAAGACCAGCCTGGCCAATATGGTAAAACTCCTTCTCTATTAAAAGTACAAAAATATTATAGCTGGGACCTGTAGTCCCAGCTACTTGGGAGGCTGAGGCAGGAGAATCGCTTGAACCAGGGAGGAGGAGGTTGCAGTAAGCTGAGATCGCACCACTGCACTCTAGCCTGGGTGACAGAGTGCAACTGTCCCCCCCAAATAAATAAATAAATAAATCACACATGGGGATTTTACTTCATTCATTACCTTCAGAGTCTGCGTTAGGTGCTAGGTTTGCTTCTAGATTTCCAGCACTTGCCTCTAGTGGAGTCGGGAAGCTGCGTAAACATTCTGTATGTCCAGGCCGGGTCTTCCTTCCTGTGGTTACCTTTCCAGGCGGAGATGCTGATGAGCTATTATTGACCCACCTATTTCCTGCCAGGTGCCTGCTACACTCTGGCTGCAAGAATGATGAATAGCTCTTTTCCAGGGAGCTCCCAGTCTAGTGAGGAAGACTTTTTTTCAAATATTTAGAAACCTTAGAAGACATTCTCCTTGAAATCTCAACTGAATAATTCCTTTACTTAGTAAATACTGTTTAGGGCCGGGCGCGGTGGCTCACGCCTGTAATCCCAGCACTTTGGGAGGCTGAGGCAGGTGGATCACGAGGTCAGGAGATTGAGACCATCCTGGTCAACATGGTGAAACCCCGTCTCTACTAAAAATACAAAAAATTAGCTGGGCATGGTGGTGCATGCCTGTAGTCCCAGCTACTCGGGAGGCTGAGGCAGGAGAATTGCCTGAACCCAGGAGGCAGAGGTTGCAGAGAGCCGAGATCGCGCCACTGCACTCCAGCCTGGGTAACAAGAGCGAAACTCTGTCTTAAAAAAAAAAAAAAATACTGTTTAGGAACCCATTGAGCCCTGATGCCAGGGATGCAAAGATGAGTAAGGCCACAGGTCTGGATCTTGAGGCGTTTATCAGATCAGAGTGATGTTTGCCAGAGTGAGGCCCTGTGTCACTGGTAGGCACGGGTGAGGATGTGTCTATGGCCCTTGACATCATTAATTATAGGTAGCCCATCAAACTTGCTATTTCTTGGATAGTATTGTTTAAGAGATGATGAAAGTAGGTATTTTAGGATAAATAAGTGAGTTGTCTTGAAGAAAAATATTTAAATAGTAATTCAGGTAATATTTCGATATGAATATGTTATAAGGGTAATACTCAAATAATTGGCTTAGGGGATGTGATCCAGAGATGTGACTAATGAAAACACAGGAAGAACTGACTAGTTGTGAATGATGGCAGCACAAGACTTCATTGTTGAAAGTGCTCAATCAGATTTTTTTTTTTTTGAGACAATCTTGCTCTGTCACCCAGGCTGGAGTGCAGTGAGTGACACTGCAACCTCCATCTCCCACCTTCAAGCGATTCTCCTGCTTCACCATTCCCTGTAGCTGGGATTACAGGCATTACAGGCATGTACCACCACACCCGGCTAATTTTTGTGTTGTTTTTTTTATTGGATTTTACCATGTTGGCCAGGCTGGTCTCGAACTCCTATCCTCAAGTGATCCACCAGCCGTAGCCTCCCAAAGTGCTGGTAATACAGGTATGAGCCACGGTGCCTGGCCAAAAGTAATTAATAAAATTTTAAGAAGGGTCTGTATTGGGGTAAAAATTGATTTTTAAAATAATATCTTCATCTGAATGAACTATTTTGTTTGAATGTGCAAAAATAGTTGTCTAGAGTCTTCCTTGCAGCATGGTAGTGAAATTGAAATGGCATGAATGTCCAACAGTAGGAAATTGGTTAAAATCTTATCCATCAGTAATGAACAGATAGTATGATGCCATTGCAAATGATGATGCAGGTGCATCATTTTCCATAGAAGGGCACTCAGAATACCAAGATACTGGGAATGGGTTAGGTTAAAATGCCAAGAATGAAAAGTCCCAAAGGGTGTGCTAGATGTGCTAACTTGGGAACAGTAGTTATCTCTGTAGCTCTAGAATTTCATCTTATTTATTTATTATTTTTTTGAGATGGGAGTCTTGCTCTGTTGCCCAGGCTAGAGTACAATGGCGTGATCTTGGCTCACTGCAACCTCTGCCTACCAGGTTCAAGCGATTCTCCTGCCTCAGCCTCCCGAGAAGCTGGCATTACAGCCACCACGCCTGTCTAATTTTTGTATTTTTAGTAGAGATGGGGTTTTGCCATGTTAGCCTAGCTGATCTCGAGCTCCTGATCTCAAGTGATCCACCCGCCTCGGCCTCCCAAAGTGCTGGGATTACAGACATGAGCCGCTGCACCCTGCAGATTTCAACTAATTTTTTTTAATCTCCCTTGTATGCTAGTTTTAAAGAGAGAAGAGCTGCACTTCTCATTCCATTGTGTAAAGGATAGTATAGCTTCTCTCATCCGCTTCGGTTTCCTTTCTTACAGGTGCGGAGGCACAGTTGGTGCTATTTTCACTTGTCCACTAGAAGTCATTAAGACGCGGTTGCAGTCTTCAAGATTAGCCCTCCGGACAGTCTACTATCCTCAGGTTCATCTGGGGACCATTAGTGGAGCTGGAATGGTGAGACCAACATCCGTGACACCTGGACTCTTTCAGGTTCTGAAGTAAGTTCATTCCCCATTCAGTATTCTCTGCTACTGCCGCCTACACACCCTTTACCCCACTGTCAACACAGAATGTTCATTGGGCTTATCAAATGTGATGTTCTGATTGCATAGCCTTGGCCCTTAACTTAAGAATTCGGTTTCTTTACCAATACCTTTGAGCTATGACCTTGCTCCCCTGGCAGCAGGGGTCCCAGTGTGCATGTGACCATCATCCGGGTCAGTTAGAGTAACCCAGCAAAGCAAACCAAAAATCCATGTGTGTAAATTGTTGCATCAGATTGTCGCTCTTGCTCAAAGCTTTTGAGGGATAACAGAGAAGGGGTGGTAGATTAAAATTTTTAAAATTGCACAAGAGAAGAGTTGTGAATACTATATATTTTTTATTTATTTATTGAGATGGAGTCTTGCTCTGTCACCCAGGCTGGAGTGCAGTGGCACAATCTTGGCTCACTGCATCCTCCACCTCCTGGGTTCAAACGATTCTCTTGTCTCAGCCTCCTGAGTAAGTGGGACTACAGGCTTGTGCCACCAAACCCAGCTAATTTTTGTATTTTTAGTAGAGACTGGTTTCACCATGTTGGTCAGACTGGTCCCGAACTCCTGACCTCAGATGATCTACCCGCCTTGGCCTCCCAAAGTGCTGGGATTACGGATGTGATCCACCACTCCTAGCCATAAATATTTTTAAAAGAAACAAAATGGTTTTTGTGGGGTTTGTTTTTGTTTTTTGCTTTTTATTGGGAAATAATTTTAAATGTATAGGAAAGTTACATTTAATAAAATGGGTTTTAAAATTTATTTTATACTTGAGCTACCTGCCCATTTTATTATTGTTACTGTAGGAAAAATAATTTATTTGCTTATAAAGTAGCTAAATATTCGTAAGTCGAATTTGGCTTATCAGTCTATGCTTAAAAATCAAATTCAGAAGAGAACTTATGGAATATCTGATTTTTAGCTTAGGACCTTGTACTTTGAGATGCTCTATAAATAATAGTTGAATTTAACTGAGCATGATATTCAAATCTCTGGTACGGATTGTTGGGAAGAGTGTGTTCAAGAAAGACATTTATCAAGAAAGCTATCAGTGTAGAGATTTATTTGGGAAATGTTAGAAAAAGAAGTAATAAAATAATGGAGATGCTTTTTTTTTTTTTTTTTTGAGGCGGAGTCTTGCTCTTTTGCCCAGGCTGGAGTGCAGTGACATGAACTCGGCTCACTGTAACTTCTGCCTCCCGGGTTCAAGCGGTTCTCCTACCTCAGCCTCCTAAGTAGTTGGGATTACAGGCACCCACCACCATGCCCAGCTAATTTTTTTTTTTTTTTTGTATTTTAGTAGAGACAGGGTTTCACCATGTTGGCCAGGCTGGTCTCGAACTCCTGACCTCCAGTGATCTACCTCGGCCTCCCAAAGTGCTGGGATTACAGGTGTGAGCCACCGCACCCGGCTGCTCAGTTTTAAAAACCACGTATTTAGCACTTTTAGGCACAATTTAGATAAGGCAGGATGAGTTGGAGAGTGCTTAATTTATTTTAGGTACGTTTTGTTTGTAAGACCTACCTGTGAGTCACTCGGTCATTCATGCCAAATGTGTACAACGGTACATTTGAGCTTACTGAGCAGAACTGAACAGCAGGACCAGCTGCCAAGGACAAATGAGGGCATCAGAAGCCCAGTCAGGGAACTAGGGAGATCAGTGTTCAAGGCTGCAGGAGAATTGGGGTTTTGTTTGTTTGTGGTTTTTTTTTGAGATGGATTCTTGCTCTGTTACCCAAGCTGGAGTGCAGTGGTACAATCTTGGCTCACTGAAACCTCTGCCTTCTGGGTTCAAGTGATTCTTCTGCCTCAGCCTCCCAGGAGGCTGAGGTAGGCAGATCACCTGAGGGCAGATCACCTGAGGTCAGGAGTTCAACACCAGCCTGACCAACATGGAGAAACCCCATCTCTACTAAAAATACAAAATTAGCCAGGCATGGTGATACATGCCTATAATCCCAGATACTCAGGAGGCTGAGGCAGGATGATTGCTTGAAACTGGGAGGTGGAGGTTGTGGTGAGCCGAGATTGCACCATTGTACTCTAGTCTGGGCAACCAGATCGAAACTCCATCTCAAAATAAAAAAAAGAAGAGGAGTAGAGACACTGGGCAGGAAGGTTGGGGGTGAGTACAGGAGAGACAGAAGCACAGAGGTGTGAAGGGACACTTTGGTTTTAGGACAAATCCGAGTCCGTGGTCCCGAACAAGATGGGACTGTGAAAAACACCCCCTCCTGCTTTGCCTTTTCACGTGCATAGGCAGTGCCAGTGTCCCGGGTGACACCTTTCTTCTAAGGAACATACAGTGCTTTGGACGTAAGGAAACCGAGACAGGTAACATTACTTCAGTAACGTTTAAAATGAACTTCCTCTTGCCAAATAACTCATGACTAGTGAATTTGGATTTACTGTAACTGGGGAACTGTTACCCAAAAGTATGAGTGTAGACGGGGCCAAGCTTGGAAGGTAAATGGGAATGTTTCTCCATTTTAGGTTTTACAGGATGTGTGGGTTGAGTGTCCCTTATCCGAAATGCTTGGGACCAGAAGCAGTGTGGATTTCAGATTTTGGAATATTTGCTTCATCATACCAGTTCAGCATCCCCAGTCTAGAAGCACAAATTCGCCACGGGGCATTTCTTTGAGCATCATGTTGTCACTCAAAATTTGATTTTTGAACAATTTGTTTTCTGTGGGGGGTGGGGAGGAAGAGAGAGAGAGAGAGAGACAGAGAGACAGAGAGTGTGTGTATGTGTGTGTTCCCTCCCCTCAATTAGGGCAATTATTTATTAAAATTTAAATCAAAGGAAAAAAGCCACTCCATGTTTTAATACAGGAACAACTTCCATACCACACAAAAGACAAGCTATTTTCCTTATGGGCCCACTGGCTTCATTGGTTAATGCAGCTACACAATAATGAGCCATCACTTACATGTGAATACTTTGTTTTTGTTTTTTGGTTTTTGTTTTTTTTTCCGAGACAGACTCTCGTTCTGTCGTCCAGGCTAGAGTGCAGTGGTATGATCTCGGCTCAATGCAACCTGCGCTTCCTGGTTTCAAGTGATTCTCCTGCCTCAGCCTCCTAAGTAGCTGGGCCTACAGGCGCCTGCCACCGAGCCTGGCTAATTTTTGTATTTTTAGTAGAGATGGGGTCTCACCATTTTGACCAGGCTGGTCTCGAACTCCTGACCTTGTGATACTCCTGCCTTGGCCTCCCAAAGTGCTGGGATTACAGGCATGAGCCACTGTGCCCAGCCACGTATGAATGAATTGATTGATTGATTGACAGTTTCCCTCTTGTTGCCCTGCTGGAGTGCAATGGTGTGATCTCAGCTCACTGCAATCTTTACCTCCTGGGTTCGAGCGATTGTTCTGCCTCAGCCTCCTGAGATTATAGGCATGTGCCGCCACACCTGGCTAATTTTGTATTTTTAGTGGAGACAGGGTTTCTCCCATGTTGGTCAGGCTGGTCTCAAATTCCCAGCCTTGGGTAATCTGCCTGCATTGGGCTCCCAAAGTGCTGGGATTACAGGTGTGAACCATCACACCTGGCATGAATACTTTTAAAATCAGTTTATTATATTAACATCAAAATTCAAACAATGACATTATTAAGTAAAATTTTAGTTAAAATGTTTTATTAGAAAGGCGTTTGTAAAGTGGCATTTTTCACCCAAGAGCTGTTTTATTTAAGATTTATTTCCTCAGCTTTATTATATATTTTTAAAAGTCTCGGCCAGGTGCAGTGGCTCATGGCTGTATTCCTAGCACTTTGAGAGGCCAACGGAAACGGATTGCTTGAGCCCAGGAGTTTGAGACCAGCCTGGGCAACGTGTTGAAATCCCATCTCTACAAAGAAATTAGCTGGGTACGGTGGCTTACACCTGTAATCCCAGCTACGCAGGAGGCTGAACCCAGGAGTTGAATATAACTGAGCGTGGTGTTCAGATCTGTGAAACTGATTCTTGGGCAAGAGTGTGTTCAAGACAGACGTTTATCAGGAAAGCTACTTATCAGTGTTGAAATTTGTTTGGGAAATGTTAGAAAAAGACATAATAAAATGCAGGTGGTCTGTTGTAAAAACCACAAATTTAGCACTTTTAGGCACAATTTACATAAGGCAGGATGTCCTTGAGCCCAGGAGATAAGGCTGCAGTGAGCTATGATTGTAAGACTGTGTGTCCAAAAAGAAAAGCTTATCTCACATAACTAATAACTTGCAAGTAAAAGACTACTTTAAAAAATTGTGAGTACATAGTAGGTATATACATTTGTGAAGCAAATACTTTAACATAGTATTACTTGATTTTTCACAACCTTAGCAGACTAGTACTCGGGTGTGACATTACCTCTATTTTAGAGAGGAGGACATACAGGTTAAGGGTTAAGTGACCTGCCCAAAGCCATGTTCAATGTAGATCCACCTTGTTTCTAAGAAAGACTCGAAGCTGCTAAAAGTAAAGTAAGAAACGAACAAGCCCCAGGCTGAGCCTCTGCTGCTTTTCCATGAAGGCAGCAGCAGTTCCCAGCTCAGAGACCCCTAGGACTCCACCCTCCTGCCTCAGCGGCTATTGCTCCCGTTGCCTTTGCTGTGCCTGCAGCCTTGCAACCTCTGGCTGTTGGAGGGTCCCCGTGCTCAGACCCTGACCTTCTCTAGCTACTGCCACTCCCTCTGTGGGCACACTTAGTCTCATGGCTAAAAATGCCATCTGTAAGCTGGCAGCCTTTCTGCTCCGAGCCTCACGCTCCATCCAGCTGCCTGTTTGACAGCTTGGATGTTTATTAGCCATCCAGGAGTAACATGAGCAAAACAGAACTCCATAAAAGCTGCTTCTCCCAGAGTCTTTCCTGTCTCTGATAAAGCAACTCCATCCTTCAGCTGCGCAGATCTCAGCCTCACAGTCATCCTTGGATCTTGTTTCTCAATCCTGCAGCAAATCCTATCAAGTCAACCTTCAA